TCCAGTACAGCAGTGAGATAAATGACCAGCTCTGAATACAAGCGACAGTGTGCTGCATTAGAGGAGCGACAGCCTTGGCACACTTCTGTGCAAATATGAGTCACATGTCACAGACCGGAGGCGGAGAGACCTGCCAAACCTCATGACTCGACTTTGTCATTTCAGGTTTTTCTGTAGCTGGTTTCTATTCACAGGTTAGGAGTAGTCAGCATCCTACCTGCAGTGGGTAGCCGTCAGGGGGATCTCACTCTGGAGAACTGGGGAGAACTTCTCATGGAGTCAAACCAACAAACCATTCAACTCTGATGTATTATTATTATTATTATTATTATTATTATTATTATTATTATTATTATTATTATTATTATTATTATTATTACTGTAGTAATAGTATTATTATTATTATTATTATTATTATTACTACTACTACTAGTAGTAGTAGTAGTAGTAGTAGTAGTAGTAATAGTAGTAGTAGTAGTAGTATTTTTATTATTACTGCTACTACTAGTAGTAGTAGTAGTAGTACTAGTAGTAGTAGTAGTAGTAGTAGTAATAGTAGTACTATTATTATTATTATTAATATTATTATTATTATTACTACTACTAGTAGTAGTAGTAGTACTATTATTATTATTATTATTATTACTAGTAGTAGTAGTAGTACTATTATTATTATTATTATTATTATTATTATTACTAGTAGTAGTAGTAGTACTAGTAGTAGTAGTACTATTATTATTACTATTATTACTACTAGTAGTAGTAGTAGTAATAGTAGTACTATTATTATTATTATTATTATTATTATTATTATTATTACTACTAGTAGTACTACTACAAGTAGTAGTACTATTATTATCATTATTATTATTATTATTATTATTATTATTATTATTTCCATCTATAGTAAATTACCTCAAACATCAGAGACTGTATGTCAGCATATAGGTTTCTTGTATCAGCAGTTATTTGCATATCGGTGCTACATTGTAATCTACAGCTTGTTGGAACACGTTTAGTTTGGAAACACGAGCTGCAAAATCAACTCTGTGACGTGTTTTTAGATGTGGTGTAAACTCACAAGTCAGGGTTCTGATTGGTTTTAGATGTTGGAAGTCTGCTCTGCTAGCAGGACTGAACGAAGATCATGCCTGCCTGGCGAGACACTGATTGCTTATTACTATGCTACAGAAATCTGCTTCAGATATCTGAATGAATTGTGTTTGTTGTTTCCAGTTAGGAAATTCTCCAAATAAAGACTTGGCTTGTAAGAATTTGTAAAGCTGAATAATCTCTACAAACTCGTATCAACCAATCACAAGTGACCTGTACACAAACCCACCAATCTGCCTCTGCTGTGTTTCATTCAGTAATGGGCTCTTCTAGACTCTAAAGCTCACAACCTGACATGGGATTTGTGACTTTGATAACGCACTTGAGTGCCCTCCATTTTTATTTGTTTGCTATTTTATTTTATTGTTTTATTATTATTATTATTATTTGTGCGTCTTTATTCCTCATCATTATGATTACTGCATACTGGTCCTTAAAAACGATAATAAGTTACCTAATATTAAGTGAACCCTGCCAAGATAACAAGGAGAGGTCAAACTAAGCAACAGGTGCAGGCGGACAAGATTATTTTTTATTTTTTATAAAGAGAACATGTAGATACAGATTTAAATAATTGTTCAGCCTGTTCAAATATTCATCTCAGTTAATAAATCCATCATCCATCCATCCATCCATCCATCATCTATTCATGCATACATACATAACTTCAAAAGGTAGTCAAGTGAAATGGTTTTCCAACAGTCTTAAATGACTGCCTCTTGAAGCTCATCAAGAGAATGCCAATAGTGTGCAAAGCAGTAATCAGAGCAAAGGGTAGCCTTTTTGAGGAAGATAGAATAAAAAACATGTTTTCAGTTATTTCACTTTTTCTTTTTTTATTAAGTACATACCTCCTCATGTGTTCATTCATAGTTTTGATGCCTTCAGTGAGAATCTACCAATGTCAATGGTCATGGTCATGAAAATAAATAAAACACATTGAATGAGAAGGTGTGTCCAAACTTTTGGCCTGTACTGTACGTACATTCATCCATCCATCTATTACTCAGTTCATCCATCCATTTATCATCTATTCATCCATCTATGCAGCCATCCATCATCCATCTATTCATCCATCCATCCAAAGTTTGAGCCTTCCTTTGAGACTTGACCAGAAATATGTCCTTTATTTCGAAAAAAGGATGCGTTTGCTTCTTCAGCTTCTTCTTTGGCGGTGTATGGCAGACTGTCCCGTTGACTGATTTCTGTAAGGATCAGTACGTCACGAGTCTGCCTTCAGCTCTCCCAGTGGGATGTTCCCAGAAAACCTCCGGAGGGAGTTTACCAGGAAACATCAGCATCAGATGATCGAACCACTTTTAATGGCTCCTGTCAATTTGGCGGTATAGTGGCTGGTGGCTCTACCCAGATGGTTAATCGCCTCTCTTTGTCTCTAAAGCTGAGCCAAGCCATCCTGGGGAGAAATCTTGTTCTAGCTGCTAATAACCAATATTTTTTTTTCTTTTGGTCATGATCTAAGTCTTGTGACTATAGGTGAGATACTGGAGCAACACCTACTGGTCTATCTCTTTTTCCATCTTCCCACCACTCATGAACAAGACGAGAGATACTTCAGCACCTTTGCTTAAGGCCCAGTTGTTTTCCAACCCCATAGGGAACACTTTTTGTTTTGGTTTTTCCACCTGGAGTTGGACTCGGGCACCCTCCTGGAGCCTACTCATCCGTGAGTGCCTGGTGGTCGAGACTTGGCTTAAGGGGTTTAACTGGGCTTAACCGAAAAAGGCAACAGACTTGGTTAGGGACCTGGTGGACTGGTGTCAGTCTAGTCTTCAAAGATCACCTTGATCTAGCTTTTGTTTTCAGCGGGAGGCTGCAATACAACAAACGATACTAACTATACGTATTCAGAACTACTTTTACCATTCTAGGCGCAGTAGAAAACAGAAGCTGACAGGCGCACTAAAAAATGTTGTGACAGATATATAAAGGGGTTTAGCAACGGGCCAGAACTATTTATTAGGCGTGACAGTTTATCTAATTCCATATTTCTCAGCATCTTTGAAGAAAATAAAGCAAAGACACTTTCTTCCTGCTACAGTCATCATTTTCAAGGTCAGAAATTCAGAATATTCTGTCTTCCACAGGCAGTCACAAACAATAAGACTCCTCAAACACCGTCAAAGTCTTTCTTTACTCCCTCTCTGAGGCAGCCAGGTGACCTTTCCTCCTGTGATGTGTCAGACTCACCCGAGGGCTTTGTTCTGCCGTACCACCTGAGGTCTTTGCGGGAGCGGATCCTCACTCCCCGTGTGGGCTGCATTATGTCTGGCAAAAAGATGACACAAAGGTTTCACCTCTGTGTTTTCTCCTTCCCCTTTTCCACGTGATGTTTAAAGGATTCGTCGTGTTTTTCTCTCTCGCTCTGGTCACCGCATTTCCTCAAGCTGGGATAAAACATAAAAGAAAACAACAATTGAAGGGAGGGTGCAAACTTTTAGGGGAAGAAATGACTATAAAAAATATGATGAATAGGGACAGTGTGTGTACTGGTAGTGAAAGATGATGGAAAACAGAAATAAAAGAGTAGAGAAGCCGCGGTAGAGAGAGGTTACAGGTATTGTGAGTGAAAGGGTGGGAGTTTAAATCCTGTTTTTATGTTCTTGCTAAGCTCTGACCTCGTCTGGACAATAAAGTCAAAAAAAGGAGGGGTGCAGTTCTGATCTCAGTCAGCCATTAAGGGCAGAGACGGGGCACGTCGGGGATGGGGTGAGCAGAAGAAACGAGAGGCGATGAAAAGAGGATGTGGTTACGGCAAGCCGAGGTAAAAGAGACCTGGAGACGGCTGAACTGGACCCACAAACAGTTTGTGGGCGCATGCAGGATAACGATGTTTGTTTCCCTGTCACAAGGGCTCTGATTGGATGAGAGATTTGTTGTCCTTCCCTAAGCTGCCCTTTTTTGCCATTCATTGTTGACTTTTACCTAAAAGCAAGCTTTCTTTATTTTCTCCAAGAAATGTAATGAACTGGAGATGTCTTACCTCCCTTACCATTCTTTCAGTTAACGCCATTGTTCAAGTACAGCATTGATCCACCTACGTAGCTGTATAACAGTTTTGTGTGCTAGCTAATAGCTACCCCAGGTCTGGCTTTGATGCTCCAATCCAAGAATTTGTGCAAATGTGATGGGCTTGTCCAGCGGGGGGAGGGACGGTCAGACGAGCAGTTTGATGGGTGGATCAGGATTCGTCATTGGGAATGGGACGTTCACCGTGTTGCATTAGGCTTTTCCAGGATTTCACATTTCAGAAGCAATCAAAATGATTCCTTTTTTGACAACGCTTTTTTTTTTATTGGTTACCATCAAGAGCCCTCCAAGTAATATGGCGAACATGCTCCAGAAGTCATCTCTTACCCCACTTTTAAGAATCAGCCTGACACAAGACTGCTGCTAACTGGTCTTAGAAAACACAAAAAGGAAAAACTGGTGACATAGTAGTGAAGAGTCACCCTTTCACACGACTGTCTGTTTGAAAAAAAAAAAACTGCTGAATCAATCACAGATTTTAATCAATCAAGATGGCCGCTAGTCAACACAAGACAACATAAAAATGGCTGTAGCTAAGAGCGGACAGTTTGTGCAAGATTCTGGGATTCTGGCGGGATTTGGTGTCTTACTTCCTGATATTTGGACATCTCACCTCTGATTGGCTGACAGCAATGCAACACTACCACAGACTCCATTTATGTTGCAGCGTTGATGTTTTAACTCCACAAACAACACAAGCCTGGAGGAGTTCTGCTGAGTTGCTAATGCTAACTGTTAGCTTCTACTAGCTGACTCGTTCTCTGCTTTTCCCGGACACTAAACCAACAACGGCCTGTTGAATGTGAATAACCATTTCTCCCTTTTTACATCTCTTACAGGCACTTCTTGTTCAAGACGTCATCGGGGACCACCCCTCTCTTCAGTAGCTCCTCCCCCGGTTACCCCCTGACGTCAGGGACGGTCTACTCTCCGCCCCCTCGCCTGCTACCCAGAAACACCTTTTCTCGCTCAGCTTTTAAGCTCAAGAAGCCGTCCAAATACTGCAGCTGGAAATGTGCTGCAGTGACGGCCATCGCAGCCGCTGCCCTGCTGGCCATCCTTCTGTCCTACTTCATTGGTAAGGAAGCACACACTGAATAATACTCATTAAATGAACTGATGAGGAGTGAAATTTATTTACATGGCCAATGGATTGCTGAGATTTGAAGGTTGTCAGCCTTTGAATGAATTCAACCTCAGCCACAAGACTTTTTCTATTTCAGCTTCAGGCCAGTTTGTGTCGTGCCATCCTGCAGTCGTTTGCTCTTACTTTTACCTCCCACGCTTAAACAAAAAAAAAAGTGTCAAGTTAACAGCGGGCTGTAAACACCGAGCCGAGTCTGGGTGTGTGTGCTTTGTCACTTTAGACTTCTGCTGCTCTATCAAAATCAGCCTCAGCAGACGCCTCGGCCTGCACTCGGCGCCAGTAAACAGCCAGTCAGACAAACACACACAGCGGCACGCTAAGGGCTGTTCCTCTGAGCAGGTATCAGTCAAAGTGGGAATCCTAACGCACCCAGCAGGAACGTGGATGTTTTTCACTGATCTGGAGCCAGCGTGCGATAGTCAGGGATGGCAGAAGCCGAGGGAGAGAGAGAGATTCTGATGCCTGTCTAGCTGCAAATCTGTGTGAGGAGGAAGAGAATGTGTCGCTTTGTGTGTGTGTGTGTGTGTGTGTGTGTGTGTGTGTGTGTGTGTGTGTGTGTGTGTGTGTGTGTGTGTGTGTGTGTGTGTGTGTGTGTGTGTGTGTGTGTGTGTGTGTGTGTGTGTGTGTGTGTGTGTGTGTGTGAAAGGAGGCAGATGTGCCACTGAGCCCCTGATTGGCCTCCTACCCCTGAGACCAGAGTCAACAGATGGGTGGATTTCAGGAATCAGTGGCATCAGCAGAAAGAACAACCTCCTGTCCGACTCCACATGCATTATTAACACAAGCTTACATCATTTATAAATATGTTTATATATTTATTAATACATTACAATCCGTCCTCCTATCATGTTAAGTTGGTGGTGCTCCTGTGCCTAAACGTGTGTGTTTGTGTGTGAGATGCGTGGCGTCTCGCAGTGCCCTTGAGAGCGGTGCGCGTCCTCCAGAGCACATCGAGGCCCCTCCGCCCGGGGCGCACAGACAGATCCTCTCCCTCCTGAGCTTCGCTCGGCCACACGGCTCTGGACAGCCAGAGCTGCAGGGGGAGGAGAGGGACAAGGGCCGCCTAAAACCCAAAACACCCTCATGCATCTTTGTTTGCACTAACAGTATATTAGCTAATGATGTTGGTTTACATCAGAACATTTAAGTATTATAATTAAATAATGATCTTATTAGAGAAATGATGAGGAATGTGTGTTTCTGAGACTAATTGGTGCCTTTGGTCTGTTTTTAACCGTTGCGTGACGTTGCCAGACAGAGCCTTTCTATCTTAATAATTAGTGATATTAGCTAGTCAGCCAAACGAGTTGATTAATAGGTGTATTTATAGCACAAACAGGACTGCTGTTCAAACAGTTTTGCATATTTAATGGGACTGAGTGGATCCTGTACTTCAGGCTCCTCTTTTGTTGTACCCGACGAAGATTTACCTGCAAAGCTAACTGGCCAAAATTCAGAGAGCCGGAACAAGGCTGAGATGAAGTTGTTGTTCTGTTTACTTCTGCTCGCCGTATCCGGCTGTGGGGAGAGGTTTTTGCTCAGGTGTTGCGTCTGCGCTGAACAGAGCTGCAGCGGTGCTGCCAAGCCTGAAACCCTTGTGTTTACCTAGCTTTTTGTAGCGTTAAGCGTGCAGTGAGTTCACTACTCGTAGGGGGGATTTGGTTGTACCCTGTTTGTGCGTCACACACACGTGTGTATGCGTGGGCCCGGCAGCCGCTCGGGGGGATTGTGCAGAGCACCCAAAGCCGTGCAGCGTGAAGAGGACCCCTCTGAGGCATCCGCCCAGGAGCCCGCTCATAAATTACACCAGGACACATGTGCCTGAGCAGCACTTTTCTTTTTGCGAGCGTGTGTGTGTGTGTGTGTCAGCCGCGTTTGGGTTTTTCTGGCTCATTGTGTGGCTTTCTTTTCTCTCCTGTTTTTTTTTCTCACAAAGCACAAATAAAGCTTCAAAAATTGCCCGACAGTCTTCTAGACACACATGCTGCGAGTCTTTTCCACGTGCTTCAAGACAGCGACTGACAACATGTCTTTGAAGCACTACCCTTCTGTTAGAATGGAGCCGTGGGACTGAGATAAACATGCACACGTAAACACAACAACTGTGAGGAAATAAACAGTCAGGCGCAGGTTTGGGTTTGTGAATTTCATCATTCTGGATGTGCTGGGCTGGGTCTGCTGGTGACATTCAGCGAGCAGCATTTGTGAGAGTTTCCTAAACGCATTGAAACATTTTTAAATTCTTCATGCAGTTTGTAGGAAAATGTACAAAAATTGCAAAGTAAATATAATTTTGTTTGGCTGCTTTTTTTATTGTTGAAAAAAATGCATTTTGGCAATAAAGGTTGTGTCACTGTAAAGCCTGATGACCTTACAAGAGATAACGTGTGTATTCGATTGAGCATCTAAACGTGTGGCTAGAACCCCAAACACATCTACAATGTTCTCCCGCTGGTATTATTCTGGCGTGGTGGATTGGACGATTACACTTTCTGTCATTAACAGGAAAAAAACTCAATTTTGGGCCATTTTTGGACTCTTCGTTTTACAGTGTAGCATGTAGAAGATCCATACGCAGCCGCAGCACCTGCGGTCCTCCTCGCGTTGGCCACCAGTCTGGTCACATCCCTCAACCAGTTGTTTTTACTTATTTTATTTATTTTTTCATTCTGTATTCAACAAGAAGAGTCCCCGTTGAGATTTTAAAACCTCATTTTCAAGGGAGTCCTGGCCAAGAGGCGGCAAAAGTTAGTCACGACATGTTTCAGTTACAGAGAAACTAAACATACAAACTTATAGTTGCAAAACAGGGAATTTGTCTTTCAGTCTAGTGTTAAATGTGTTCTAGGAGATGTGAGCGAACGGAACACAAGGTAACAGCTGACCGTTTGAACGCAGACTGTGAGGTTACGGTTCTCTGTGAGATTAGTTTACGGATGTAGGTGGGTAGTAATCCAAGCCTTATAAATGAAAGTGTACCAATGTCCCAACATTCTGGTGGACAAAGAAGGCCGTCCCACTCGAGAATACAATTCACAATGATTGGTCAGTGGTCTACAGTTTGTGGAGGTCAGGCCAACTGCGGCTCAGGAGGTAGAACGGGTTGTCCAGCAATCTGAAGGTTGCAGATTCAATCCCAGCTTTGAGCAGAGAATGCTGCTGTTGTGTCCTTGGGCAAGACACTTAACCCACCTTGCCTGCTGGTGGTGGTCTTTCCTTAGTGTTTGAAAACAACATTAGCTTAGTCTTGTCAGCATTGAGGACCAACTTCCTCTGCTGAAGTGTTGACCTCGGTGGGGGACGTTCCAAACCAGTAAATGACTGTTTATCAGGATTAAAGTGCATCCAACCATTTTTGGCCTATTTCATTAATATACATTGTAGCACTACACCGGCTTCACCAGGCTCCCCCACACCACTCAGACCACACCGATTACAAGTTGAACTCTTTATTAGGCTGTCCTGGTGTGACCTATGCACTCCCAGTGCTCATCCCGGGTCTCAGAGCCATCAGACTCTTCTCCTTTCAGTCTCCCCCTCCGTCTCCAGCGTCTGTGCCTATGAAGCACCTTCTGCTGGTTGGCAATCAGACTTAGGTGTGCTCTGCCATATACAAAATGAATAAGAGGGGTCCCAAAACTGAACCCTGTGGTACTCCCTTGTGGACACTCAAAAATGCTGAGGACAATCCATCCCAATTAATGCACTGAGTTCTGTCCTAGTCTGTGAACCATGATATTGTTTGCTCAGGCAGTCCCAAATAAAGAAGCTTATGTTTAAAAACAGCATGGTCGACAGTGCCAAAGGATTTTGACAGATCAATAAAAAGTGATGCACAGAGCTGCTTTTTATCCAGAGCAACAAGTGTGTCATTGATCACTTTAGTATGGGGGTATTCAATTCCGGGCCTGGAGGGCCAGTGTCCAGCACGTTTTAGTTTTAACCCTGTTTCAGCACATTTGATTTCCATCAGCAGGTGATTAACAGGCTTCTGCAGAGCCTGATGAGCTGCTGCCCAGGTGAGTCAACCCCGGAATTAAGTGTGTTGGAGCAGAGAAACCACTAAAACGTGCTGGATGCCGGCGTCGGTACCAGATCGGCTCGGAGTCCTGCATCTGCAAATTACGTCACAGTGGATGTTTGGCTGAACGTAAGACTTACGGAAGTTACGATACCACGTTTGTAAAAGTTACGTTAGCACGCTGACAATGAAGATTTTGATTGGTCTGAATGAACTTACAGTTGTGGTCGTAGCGGTTGTAGTCCTGTAGTCCAAAAATCAACACTTTTCAGAGAAAATATGTTTGAATTTCTAAAGGAAATGTAAAATAAAAACATATATATCAACTGAAAACCGGTGACCCTCAAAAGCTCGTGATTTTGATGAAACGGCAAAAAGAAAAATAAATAAAAACTATTGAAAAGACAGCAAGCAACTATTGAATGAATGAATGAATGTATTTGCATAACAACTAAGGAAATATGCGGACAAATTCCACATTAATACATACAGATATGGCTTCACCTATAAGAACTGTTGTGTTTTGGGGCAGTCTGATGTTGGTTTTTATGTAGTTTCCCATTCTTTAATTCAATTCAGTTCAATTCAAGTTTATTTATATAGCGCCAAATCACGACAAGAGTCATCTCAAGGCACATCACATAATAATAATTTACAAAACAAAGATAATATGTTGTTTTATTAACAAATTACATTTGTAAAGAAAACATTTAGGTGGAAACAAACAAGAATGTATTAAAAAAACTGCTGATGTCTTTCCAAAGCTTAAGCGTGAGAGCCGAGTGGATTGGCCGTAATGTGACGTCATCAGCAGGCGCAGGACCCCGAGCAGATCTGGTACAGACACCGACCCTCCAGGACCAGAATTGAATACTACTGCTTTAGCAGCTGCAGTGATGGTGCTGTGCTT